ATCGTGTACTGGTTGCTAATTTTGTTGTGCCAATGGTTATGTTATCGTCGAAAATCTCTCGGAGCGAATATTAAATCATATTTTTGTGTTTATTTCGTTTGTGAGGGAGGGACGGAGAAAGAGAGAGAGAGACGGAAAGCGGCGGGAGACTAAGAGCGAGCAAAAAAGAGCAGTGGTTAAAACTTTTGGAAGAATAATGCATCAAGAGTGTGTTTGAAATTCGTCCATCCATCGTTGGCTCGTTCGCTGTTGTGGTAAGGGATAAAATCACCAGTGGGACTATATTCATTGTTCATGTAGCGCCCAGAGGCGATTCGTTCGGATTTTCAAGCCGTCATTTTAAATGCTCTTTTCTATTTTACCGTGTTGCTGTGTTAAAATTTCCATCAAGTATGCGCCTGGTGTGGAAAGTTTCGGCGCATTTTATGCCATCGACAAACACAAACAGATCCACTCAACTTGATTTTGTTGAAGCTTACCCAACGCTCCGAACCAGAGAGAGAATTTTGTTTGCCTTTGCATTACATTTCAAATTCTTTCTGTTGTTTTTTTTTCGTCGTCGGTTTGTTTCTTCATTTTAAACTTTCATTATTATCCGACTGCGTGAGGCCACGGATTTTTTCCCGCTTGCGTCCTTTCCATCCTCATAGTTGTGAGCTTTTTTTCCGTTCTCCTTTGGTGTTCCTGTGTGTGTATGCTTGTTCTGTCTCGTCCGTGCTTTATCAGTGTGGCATTCAACGCGTCGGTTTTGTTCGATAATTTATTAAAAATTTATGATAATAAACAACATCTGGTGATCGTATTTATTGGTGTCATTGGCAATGGCAACAATTCTCATTCCGTTTTTGCTCTCCGTGTGCCCTCAACTTTTTTTTTCCCATTGCACAGCGCATAAAAACCATCTCATGGCGTTCAGTAAACAGCGCGGAGCAGTTAACAACATCAGCGTCGGCGGCGGTCGAATGAACCTAACCAATAAATCGTATGTCATTTGGTAACGATAAACTCTCGGTTGCTCGGGTGAATGGAGGGAAAAAAAGTTTTACGCGGATTATTTTCGGTTGATCCTTTTTTTTCTCCTCTTGTCGCTCTTTCTTTCGCTTCTTCGTACGTCAGGGAGAAAATCTTGACGCTCATACATATAGATTGCTTATTATATGCTAATATCTATATCAATGACACGCCAGAAACACTTTGAAATAATTTCGGAAATGGTTATGCGACCGATTGGATTAGCAAATTTACGTTCGTCGCGGCCAAATCGATGATATATACAATTCGAGAGAGAGAGAGAGAGAGAGAGGAAGACTGAGATTTGTGTATACGCAGCTTGGCAGCATTGCTATTCGCCCACCCCAACCACACTGAACATTACAATTTTACGCTCACTTTGAATGCGATCCACACCATTCCCAATCATTATGGCATCAAGCAAAGCACACGGCTCAAAATCACTAAACATTTTTTCGGCGAGAAGGGCCGGGGAACAAAATAGGCGAGCGTGTACATACGAAATGTGCGGTTTGGCGAGACGAATGGCAAAATATTGAAATTAAAGGATCATTTGGGATGTGTGGCCCAAGTGTTTTGAACATCTTTTTCCTTTGTACAATTAAATTTTGAAATTGCAATGGCTTGTTCAACGATTGGAATAAAAATGGTTCATCGTTTGTATTTTCCTTCGTCTTTGTTTCGCTTTTTGAAAAAATCCCACTGAAATTTCCATGGCAGTGGACGCATAATTGCGATCTCTTGAAAACCAGCCTTTCTCTCTCTCTCTCTCTCTCTGTGTGTGCGTGTGAGCGCCGAAGAAAAAGAGATTTTTGTTGTTGAAAAGCAACCATTGCTGAACAACAACCAACCAAAAAAAGAGAAATTGAGAAAGAAAACGACGAAAAAAAACTGCGGCAAACGAATTATAACCGCATAGTCTTGCCGTTTATACATACACACACAGCGTGAAGTGAAATTATCCAAGAGTAAGCAAAAAATTAATTGGTTTTCCTTTTGATACCTCCGAAGCCAAAACAAAAGATGAAGAAAGCGGCGGAAAAGAGGGAATTATTACATTCAAGTAAGCTCGTTAAAATGATTTGATTTTAATGTAGTACATGCATGTGAACAATACACTCTCCGACAGTCACTTGCGTTTCGCACACTGTCCATAGTCGACTCATTCATTCCCTCTGCCTCTCTGTCATTGTGTGTTGTACTCGCAATCCCTCTGTGCTTTCTTTCGCTTGGGATACTTTTTTGTTTCTCTCTTTCTCTCTGTATGTCGTTTCCATTCGCACTTTTTCTGTTTTTATGCTCGTTTCATCACAACCGGCACCACCATATATACACCAACTGAACGCTTGCTAAATACTTTCTCCATAATTTTCTTTAGTTCAGTTTGTTGTTTTTTTGATATTCGGTCGTTCTATACGCCTGTGTTTAGTATTTGCTGCATATCGAATCTAAATTTGTATTACCAGCATATTTGAGGCGACTAGATTGTTCCATATTGCACTTCAGGTCTCAGTGTGTTTCATGTTTTTGGTGGGATATCTTTGAGAGATCTTATTGTTCACAAGCAACCATTGTTTGAATTCAACTTTCAACCTTTTTTTCCCTTTTTCTTCTTTTTGCCGTATTTTTTTTTTGCATGCGCTTACTCTTTTTTGTGTTCGAAGAAAGAAAATTCTTCATATTTTTTTTTATGTTCAAGGCATACTTTCATTTAACGAAAGCAGAATTTTGCTCGTGTTGATATTCGATTTGCATTTTTTTTTCGCCCGTTTTCTGCGCACCTCTTTGGTCTCATTGTCGTCTTCTACACGGTACACATTTCTGTGTAGTGTAATTAGAGTACCTGAACACACTGACCAAACCCATTCAAACTTGTCCTCCGACTCCTTTACATCCATTTCAGAGAGGAAAAAACGCTATTCATCCCCCGCTGATGTGGTGGAAGTTGTACGATAAGAAAATTCAATGGTCATAATTGACACAAATTCTTGAAAGTTTTTTTTTTTCGTTAGCAAAATTAATGGCATTCATTTAAATATTGAGAATGGAAAAAACTGTTTGTGTTAATTTTTCATTTAAATTTTCGACTATGAAAATACAAAAGAAACTTTTAATGCTTTGAGAGATATTCCATAAATTCGACGAATGAAGAAGAAAAAAAAGCGAAGTTTTCTATCTCAAGTTATAATTGGAAATGAAGTGTAGCCAACTCGCGTGAAGAGAAAAAAAAACGCGAGAATAAACGAGAAATTCAAATTGGATGCAATTGAATTCGTTAATCAGGGAAAATATAGTCTCATTTTTTAACGCACACATCTTAACCCCAAAGGCACAAACACAACATTTGTCAGGCTGAGATTTACAGCACAGTCAACTCTGAAGATATGCTTAATTGAAATTGGTTGTGATCTCAGTGGAGGCGGATTTTTTTCTCTAATTATCTCGATTGAAATGCAGAAAAGTTACCGTTTTCTGTCATCACTTTGCTATCACGAATTCCGCACCACGAAGTCTAATCATTTAATGATGCGCTCTTCAAATCGAAATAAAATATTTAATAAAAATGTGCGGGAGTGAACAGCACGAGAATATTGCTTACTGGATTGCATGTCAATGTCGTGAATGGTGTTTGTGTTCGTGTGTGAGATGTAAGACGTTGTCTACATTTCACCTCGGTGAGATGGCATGCCAGGGAATAGCGTTTCGCATTTGTCAAAAGTTCATAACAAGTGCTCACGAAGATCGTCAAAATGAGCAGATGCTGACGTTGATGCACGCTCAACATACACACAACATCAACCAATTCCAAATGGAGAAATTTCAAACCGAAAATGGATAGATAAGAAGAATTTGTGCTTAACAAGTAGCATATTTCCAGTCCAAGAATACTCCACTCTTTTTTTTAATTAATAGTAAATAAATAATGAGCAGATAGCATGGTCTTTTTGCATTTTCGATGCTATTTAAATATTCACGGGCGAAGAGTTTGAGCAACATTTGTCGAGAACACACAGAGTTCTGCACATGGCAACATTCAGAACTCTTTTCGCTGGCGCTCGCGAGCAGAGCAGAGCGAACATCATGAGAGCGGAGAGATAGTTGCCGGATGGCAAATGGATCGAAATATATTCGTTGCGAATGATAGACACTTCGATTTTTTTTTGTGTCGGGGTGAAACAGCGATAATTCCTTCGCTTCAAAGTCGAGCGCCATTTCGATGAACGAAAATGCAAAAGTTCAATGAAACTCGTTCGCTTTATGGATAATTTAATTACCGTTTCGATGGTGGTGGTAGTGGTGATGGGAGGAACGATGGAGAGCAGCAACGTTGGCAGTTAGCAACGGTTTTAGAGAAAAGTTTTCCCGTTAAATTCCATGTCTGATGTTACACATTTGATACTTTCTGTGTATCTTGTTTGCCCATAATCCGCAAATTCCGCCAAAATGTTTGTTCAATGGAGATTAATGAAAATTGATTAACAAACACGATTTTTGGCCCGTCGCTGTTTCGCAATGTGCCTCACGTTGTGCTCGCTCTCGCAACTGCAAAAGTTTTGCACCCAAAGGGAATCACAATTTACTAATTTCATGAATAATACAGTTCCTTTTTTCGCAATATGCAATGTACATATGAGTAGTTTGGAGCGAAAATGTAATACAGAAAAGTTGCGCGGAAAAATGTCAATGATGAATGAGTGGAAAAGGGATAGCTATATAGTATACTGTTTAGTAAACTATAGTGAACTATATAGCTATATCTCTTTTCATTTGATATTTTTCCGCGCAACTTTTCTGTATTAAATTTTCGCTCCAAACTACTCATATGCTTAGCAATCGCTCACTTTTAATGCTTTTTCAGAGCGAACGATAGTTTCAGTTCAAACATTGAAAATGTAAACTAAAAAATTCATCGCAGTTTAATACGTATCGATTTTATTGCGCTATAAATTTTAACCATTTTTCATGTGTTTTTTTTGTCTCTATTTCAGAAGTTTGGAACAGCAATCATAAAACATATATCGGGAAGCTTAACCACGGCTAACTGCATCAAGCGAAAAAAAAAACATTACGATTTGCGGCCAAAACAAGGAAATTAGAACCGAATAAAGAAGATCGAAATCAAATCAACGGCTCCAAACGGCACATATAAAAAAAGAGTGTAATCTTTTTTGTGTTCTTTTTTTATTGCAATTGAATCGTAATTTTTCGAAATAATACACGTTAGCACCATGGTTGATTGCGGCTTCTGCATTGATGTCGGCTTTTTTTCACTCGCACTCTCCAAAAACGCATCATAATTTTCATTTGCATTTAAAGTATTTCGCATTGGATGAACAGAGAAAAAAAGATCAACAAACTGAATTTTCCGATTGGAACTGTGTGTGCGTTCTTTTTTCATGCCATTTTTGCGAATGGACAATATAACACTTACGCCAATTCACCAAAATGCGGCCGAAAAACGTTGGAAAAAACGCGACAACCCAATGAAATGCAAAAGTGTCCGTGTCCAATAAAAATTTAAATAATTTTTTTTCTGGTCTGTTTTCACTTGCTCGTTGGCATTGAGTGTGCAGCGCGCATTATTCCATTGTAAAAGAAGTCCAACGACATAGAGTAAAAAATCATGAATTAATTACCAACAATGAACATCGCAACAAAAATTTAATCTTCTATAAAATTGAAAAAAAAAACCGTCTCTGTCTCTCTCTCGCTCTCTGAAAGAGGAATGCGCGTGTGAATGAAACAGCATAGAAAAAAAAAATACATTTTAAATTATTCTGCATTGTGTAAAAATAAAACGAAAAAAAAAACGAGCATGTATCGTGAATGAATCGATACGAGTTGAACAAATATTGCCGATCACAATAATTGGTTTTACAGAAACGGAGCAGCGAGTAATTTTCACCGAATTTAAATAAAACGGTGCAATCATATTTTCTCATTTGGACAGCAAGAGATTAAAGTTCAGCCGAGATCGAAATACATGCACATCGGAGCTACCGAGTAAGAGTTGGACAAACTTATTTCTGATTGATTGCGGTAAAAGCGTTGTTCTGTGACGAATTTAATTTCCTATTCGAACAAAAACAACAAGAACTGCAGAAGAAAAAAAACACTGTGAACAATTAAAAAAAATACATACATATAACGAAATCATCGCGACTGGTGGGTATTTACGCGCCGGAAAATAACCCAGTGAAACCAATTGATTAAATTGAGTGTTCAGCTGCGTGTATGTAGGACATTCATTTATCGCTTCGACACTGATTAATCAACTAGTAATTTTGTTTGATTTCACACGCGCTTCTGATCTACAGCCCGCCGACAAGAATCACACCGTTGCTATCACACACCAACAACGAAAAAACACAACAACAACAACAACAAGAGCAGGAACAGCAGCCGCATCATCAGTCTCGCACGGCATCAGAAAAAAAAACTGCAACAGCAGCCAAACCATCACTAAATCGATTGCAAAGTAATAAATTTCTACGTGTGTGTGTGTTTCGATTCAGTGAAATAAAAAAAACGAACGCAAATTCGATCTCACTGCGGGCAATTATGTGACATCGTTTTCAGTCATCCGAGAATGACCATAAACTATTTGCTATGGGAACATAATAAATTAACGAAATAACAAATGTGTTTTTCGTGTATATGTTGCCATTTTATTTGTGTGTGTTAAAATTTTGGCGAGCGCGGTTTTTTTCCCGTTCGTTGTACGCGCAAATGCAGTAAAAATATATAAACAAATGCAATTTGGTGGAAAAATGTAAATTGGTTTAAAACAAAACGCATTTCGTAAATAATTGAGTGAATATAAATAAATGAAAATATAAACAAATACCGGGAAACCAATAAGTGAGCTTGGGGGATAACAGATAGAAACAGAAAAAAAACGAACACAGACTGACACCAAGTGGCGTACAACACACGGCCTCCAAGCGAATGGTTCAGTTGTGGTAAAAATATTTAATTAAATATGAACTCAAAGCGATATTTCATTGCTCATAACATTTTCAATTTGCGATTTGTGAACGCATTCGATTAATATTGGTGCGTTTTCAATTAGATTACGTGGAAAACCTCATAAATTAGATTCGATCAGCATAAAAAAAAATCCGATCCATTCGGCGCAACATTGCCAAATACTGATAATTGCCATCGAGTCATTTGTCGCGGTATTCGACGAAATAAAAGGACAAGTAGCTTGCAAATGTGGGAAAAAGGACACCGAGGTCATTCGACTGATCTAAATAGAATTCCCAATAACATTTAATCGACATTGCTTGGCGAAAAACGCAACGTAAACAAACAACAACAGTTCAGCAGTGAACAGAGAACGAAATACAGTTTTAAAAAAACAAGTGGTCGAAACATACATTCGATTTTTGGACAAAATGAAATCACAACACAGTACAAAATGTGTTGGCAGCGCCGGAAGCAGCCAACGACTCAACGCTAAAATAACAAATGACAACAATGCACACCATCATCACGGTGGAAAAGCCATTGCTTTTCGCCCTCGTGCGCATTTTTTCAATTTCATCGCAACCATTTTATTCGCAACGATTATGATTGTCAATGTTCGGAATTCATGCGGATTAATTGAAATTCAAACAGAAAAGGAAAAACACGGTAAGTAAACACGGGTAAAAAAGTAAACATTTGTTTAATTTTTTGTTTGTTTTTTTTTCTCCCGTCTTCATAACGAGATTACAACTCTTTTTTTCATTTTGTTCGCTTTCATGAGTTTGGTCACTCATGGCCCCGCGTTTCGTTCATTTAAATTGTTTGTGTTGAAATTCGGCCGAAAAATTTGTACAAAATCCAGTGGCCGACCCTGATTACATTCCAAAAATGAAATGCAAATTAAGCAAATTGTACGAAATTTTGATTGAAAAAGTGGCGAGGTAGAGCGGGGAAAATGTTTTAACAACAAACAAAAAAGAATCAATAAAAACCGGTTCCGTTTGGTTGGGCACAGCCAAAAAAAATATGCCAAGAATGTAATAGATTTTCTGGGAAAATCATAAATCAGAAAAAAGGGTCAAACCGCATTCAACTTCGACTCATTGCACAAATTGCAACATTTCTTAAATAAAAACGCCCTATTTATAGTTTTGCCCTTGTGAACTGACCTATTCAATTGGCGGCTAGTTATGCTTTTTTGGTTCAAAATCCGTTCGATTTTTTTTTTATTCAAATTTATGCAACCGTTGCTCGAGTTGCGTGAAAAATTGATGTAAACAACTGAGATGCAGATTGAGGTAATATTTACATGTTCAACAACGTCAGCGCATCGCTTTAAATTGTTTCAAGTTGAGTATTTAAATCAAGTGACGTGAAAAAAAACATTAATTGTCGTTATTCAGCGTTTTTTTGTTGTTGTTTTGGGTAATAAATTTCAACATCGAAACGGAATGTGTGTGTGCTATGCATCGATGTTTCGTGTGTGTGTGTGTGCGTGCGTGGATGTCCATGAAATATATGGCTAGTGTGCTGTATAATGTGCGAGAGCCATGGTTTTGACTACATAAAAATTGAATTGAAATCTGTACGAATTTATTGAACGTCAAAATGTGGAGATTTTATTGGATTACGGGGACGAGATCCCCTGTTTCAAAGGTGAAAATACTTCAAAAAGCTCCAAAAGACCGTTGGTTATGAATTTTGGCAAAACATTGGCACTCTGAATGGCTTGAACTATGCAGTGCGTCTCGTGTGCGCATTGTATGAATTGCGTTGCGTTGCCATGCCATTTCCCAAATGGATCCAATTGAATGATATCCGGTAACGGTTCACTCAAAATTTATTACAAAATGTCCTCGGAATATTCGGAATCAGTGTATGGGAATGGAATTTACATTCATACTTCGAATTCACTCTATCCCACCACTCACCTCCTTTCAATCCTTAACTCTCTTCTCTCTCTCTCTCTCTCCGATTCCAACATCGAAACGATTTTGGCATCGGTAAAAGTGCGCGTCTTTCATATGAACTCGGATAATATTTCGAGCCGTGCCAGTGATAAATTCAACGGTGAAAAGATTCAATTCCATCGTTATAACAACGATTTTAGTCGTTTGAATATACGATTGCACACATCCGAATGTAATGAATTGTGTACAAGAGAGAACGAGCGAGGGAGTAAGAGAATCTATGGAAAAGTTTGTTGTCTAATGCACGCACTTGCACTCAATTTAATGAGCAAATAAACTGCAGGTATAGGTAGTAGTAGTAGCAGTTGTGTGCTTAATTTAGTTCACAGGTTCTTGCATCGCAATTTATCGTGCACACATGAAGCAACATCAAATTAAGAGGAACGCATTGCACGATGCACCGTGGGATTTTGAATAGATATGCAACCAAACCCCATACATGAACAACAATTCTCGCTTTTTAATAGACAATCGTTCGCTCTCTCTCTCTCGATTAGTTTCTCTACACACACACACACACACACACTCTCCGCTCCCTCCTCTAGCAGTGTATTTCCATTGTTGTGGCACATTCGCACATTGCACCGGTTATTGGTCCCGATGAATGTTTTCAATTCGCAAAATGTTCGTTAACAATAAAGTCAAATGCAATCAAATGTAAATGCGAATATTGTCGACAACAACAAAACACCTTTGATTAATATTCGACTTTTCATACGTTCTTGGCTTTTCTATCTCTCGCATTTTCGATCTCTGTCGCTTGCCATTGTTTTCGCCGATTGTCTGATGTAATTCAGTTTGCTCAAACTAGATGGAAAACGGGGGAGTTTTCAATGAAATCCCATTGAATTTGCAAAAAGTTTTCTTTTTCACTTTTCCACCGTTCAAAGCGCAACTCGTGTATTTCATTACCTGTGATTTATCCATGCGTTAAATAAAACTGTATAATAATAGAATTTATGGATATCAATTATGCACAATTGACAAACTTCACTCGTTTGTTTCGTTGTGAAATCGAATTTCGTCGGTCTGTTTGTTTGCTGGTGTTTGCATTTTTTGGCCGAAACAAAAAACAATAGCGTGAAATATCTGTGTGCAGAGAGGTAGAGAGATGCACTTCAATGCACCTCATATAAACCCTTTTTCGATTCAATGCACACACGCACAAATTGCAATTTTTACGCGCTCTTCATCATGCTGAATGAGTGGATCGTCGAATCACCATTGTTTCTCATTTGGCGTGAGTGTCATCAGGCGTCGTTTCAGCATGCCATAGCGAAAATGCCATTGTATTTAATCGGGAATGCATGTCGAATATGCATTGAACCATTGCACACATACACACGTGCATAAAACCACCTAGGTAGAAAATCATAAAGGTCTTTTACGCTCTCTCTATGGCATGCGCTGAAGCACATGCCATTATACGTAGCGGCTTCTCGCATTTCTAACGCAAATTTGCACTGCATGCATAAATTTGTCTGTGTCCTGTTGTCGACGTTGAATAAATGTGCGCTCGCGCTCGAGTGTGTGACACACTGTGTGTATTTGTGCTGTTTGACCATTCGCATTGTAAAAGCCGAATAATCAAAAGCATTGCAATGCTCAAATTCCAACTCGATTGTTTTAATTTATTTCGCAAACGTCGTCATTTTTAAACGCGAACAACATGCGTAGTAATTCAAATCAAAGCCCCGTGTGCTTTGCTCTTACTGTGCAAAAAGGTTGCATGAAGGGCTTTTTCATTCGTTGCATTCATTAATTGGAAGGTAACGGTGTAGCGTAGGCACAAAAAAATAGAGTCACTCATCGTTACGTCTACTAAAACGGACCGAGATCCATACAAACCGTATGCCGCGAACTCGCTAACAAAGGACGAAGTTTTTTTCTTCACCACGAACAATATAAGCGTTCGCTTTCCAGCCTTTGAAAACAATAGTAGAAGCATACGCTCACCAGCCGAGAGCTTAGACATGTAAAATACCTATGCCGTGTCGTGGAATTCCATCGACATGTGGTGTGTGTGTGTCTGTGTATAGACACTGACTATTGGGCAATTAACCAAAACCGCAGTAATTTTATAGTTTGCACAGTATTTACGATTTCAGCAACGAAAAAAAAGAACACACCTGAATCGTTTTTTCGCACGTAAATCGTGTATATGTGCTTGAGTGCTGTTGAAACGACCTACCAAGCCAAAACCATACTCATTTACTGGATTTTGATGCTTTTTTCGCATAGCTATTCCCTTCCACTCATCTAGCTCTCTCCGCTTTTGTGACTTTAATGTGGAGTTTCAAATGCGGAATATGATGTGCAGAAGAACAAGAAGAAGAAGAAGACTATTTCGAAAAACCTTTTTATGTATACGGACGATGTAAAACAACAGAAAAAATGGAAGTTAATGTGAATTCCAGCAATTTATTTTGCATTTCCTTTTACACATAGTGCACAGAAGAAGGCAAAAAAAAAACAACAACACAGAAGCGAAACATTCAGTTTCTGGTTGTACGATTTACTTTTTTCTACGCTCCGTGTATAGGGGTTGTTTACGTCTTTGGGGAAAAAACGAGTGAAATGATGGAAAAATCAGGCAGGAACATCGTTGTTGGAATAAAAAAAATAAATCGCTCATTACGATGTCACTCACAATGTTCAACATTCGCATTACTTCCGCTTGAATTAAAAATAGTTTCATCAACGCAGCTGACAGAGATATTGAATTCTGTGAAACGAAATAAAAAAAAATCGTGGAAATGAGTGAATCGTTACAAGTGGGAGAAAAATAACGTGAGGTCTATTTGTAATTCCATTCAAGTAGCAATATTAAATGTTTACGTAATTGTACATTGGCTGGGCTTGGTTTGTAATCAGCACACACACACACAAAAACGCATACAGAGAGTCCCATTTAACAAACTAAACGATTCATGAAGCGAAATAAAGTGTTATTGAAGAGATAAAAATTGAGTAAGAAGTATGGTTATGGTGAAATAAATATAGACATAGAAGGAGCGAGAGTGAGAAAAAAATGCTCAATGCAAGGCATAACTCCCATTAGCACGTTGCAAACGCAGTAATCACACAACGGAATCAGAATACAGAGAGCTATGTATAGATTTGGCAAAAGTGTGTATGGGGCATTTTCAATAGAATTCGTGCTCGATTCAAAGTGGATCTGAATGGATTTGCCTGGATTCAATCACAGTGGCAGTTTGTGATTGCTTGACGTATGACAAAAAAAAAACACCATCAACTTTAAATCCAGTTGCCCGTGTTCTGCTTACAAGATCGATAACTTTGCGTTCTGATAGTGAGCTTGCACTGTGTGTCTGTAGTACGACTATTCTTTCCTTGTTGTTGTTGCTTTGTTTTGCTTGATTTTATTTTCATCTTTTTATGGATATATCAAACCGTGATCTCTTTTGTATGTGCTCACATACCTATTCTTATCATGGTCTTTTATTGGGTTTATTGTCGCATACGCTTTCGTATTCATGGCCCCGGTTACGTGCAAACCGTTCCATTCCAAACCGGCAACATAAAAAAGAAGTAGTCAAATTTTAATGCTGATAAATAAAGAGCTAAACAAAACGCAAACATGAAAATTGTATGCGTATAAATGGGATGAAAAGCAACATTTGAATAAGGGAGTACTTATACATACCCGTAGTATCAAGTAAGTGGCGGTTGCTG